CAGAGATGCCAAGCTCTTCGATTTCATTGTAGTCGCTACGAATTTTAGCCTCAAGCTACACCAATACGAAATTCTACGAATTTTGAAGAAAATTCATTGAAATTTGAATATATAGACAAAAACATATATCTTCGTCGATTGAATACATTTTTGCCCCAAAAAGTCAAGAAAAAACGTAATGCTGATAATTTGGAAATCTGCTGTGGAGGTATGTGAAAGTAAAGCTTCACTCTTGATTGGTGTCATATTATCTTTCTCAGAATCCATCATGCTATTAAGTAATTAGTTCACTATTATTTTTAAGGTCAAACTACTAATTTTGATTCTTGAAACTACTATTTGCAACACTTTGGCGTTGGCATCTCTAATGACATACATAAACCATCCAACTAACATTAACATAGCAGTACACTCCAGCTGACACATTGGATCCTTACGCAAGTTTTGAACAGAGTCACAGCTATAGAAATCATTTAAAATCTGATAAAACCCCAGCAGGTTCTGATACTACTGAGGTAGTATGACGCTCTACACAGGACATTTTAATTATTTTCTAGTTCTTAGGACACTGTTGGTTTTGTCAGCTCGAACATCAGCACTCCCTATAGCATGGTTCTGGTCACAACAGACAGACTCATTACAATTTGAATTGATCAATAGTTGACCATATATGAAATTTCCCTCCAATTCCTGCTTGAAGAAGTCAGATGTTAACTGGAGTGATATAATTCCTGGCCCTGGACATATGGACAAAATGATCAATCTAAATATCAATGATTGATACCTCATTACCAATCAATCAGGAAACTATCATCATTTTCATGTATGGATAAATGAACAAATGTATCAGTTTTTAATTCTGCTCCAGTGGCAAGATGCCAATTTTATGAATTCCAAACACAAAAGCATTTCAGTTTGAGACAAATGCAGGCACCAATCCCATTTCACTAATGTTATGTATCTCAACAATACATTATACATGATTACCTGCCGGCAAATAAATATTGTTTATTTATAGAAAACTAAACACAAAAATATTTCCATTTCTTTATTACTGGGTATTTACAAGTGATGGGATGTTTGTACTTGCTGATGAAATCTTGTTTGAAATTGCTGGGCAGGACTCCCGCCATCGCTGATGACTTTCCATCAATACTCCTCACAGGCAACCACAATCAGTGTTATATATTTCATACACTGTTAGAATGTAGGCGGACACATGCTCTTGCACAATGTCAGGTGTGTGATAGCATATCAGCTTCTTCAGCACAATCAGTCACAAGACCTGGTTCAGACAAACAAATATTGCGGCCGTCAAACACTTATGTAAAGGATATTTAGTGCCCACCTTCTGAATATCGATCACTGTGTTTGTCACGACATGAGACAAACATGTTTTTTGGCAATAAGAGCCCAATTTAAATTTTCTTACCTATATGAATCTTAAATACGGAAATAACATTTAAGGCACTCTCAAAACTCTGATTATTTTAAATCAACATAGCATGTTATTACTTAATAAATAACAAACAAAAATCATAACAAACATAAATAACAAATAATCCATTTTGTTTCCTACTGAATGGATCAAATACTAGTACCTGTTCCACCTGATTGTGTGTCAAGTATCCCCCCAAGCCCATGGTCAATGTACATGTGTGTCATATCAGCCTCTCCTTCTTTAGTGGACACTCTTGTCACATTGTAAAATATATTGCCACACAAACTCTACAAACTCACTATCTCTGTATTGTAAATCATGCCTTATGTCAATGGCCAGATTGAAGAAACAAACATAGTAAATAGTAAAATGTAAACACTAATAAATTGGAACTCTTGTTAAAACGGGAAGTCCTGTTTGTCAGGGAGGTTAGTGAAGGCAAGTTGTAGACTGGTCGTGCTGTGTTGTCACACACTACATACATATGTCTCATGACGATATCCTCCTTGGCGATATCATAACCATCCACAAGTAACTCCAAGGGATATACATTGTATATCTAAACAAATTGAAAGGGATGGATGGTAATGTGTGTCCTATCCAGAAGCCTTTGACGGTTAAATTTATTTAGATCAGAGTATCAAGTCAAAATTAATAACCAATATTGTTAAAAGAACTATATGTTTCATTGTGTGTATATGCTATCCAATGAGCACAAGACCATTACTTTTCAAGAGTTCATGGCAAAGTACCTTCAATCTTTAAAAGTTTAATAACAGCAGTCTGGGTGTGTGGCACCATTCTATGCTGGATATCTTGCTCCATGTGCAAGAGAAATATTACTCTGGTCAGGAGTTCATTGTCAACACCCTGGGGAGTGTACAACTCTACCCATGTATGAGGTGCTCGAAGGGTACCCGTCCACTACTGAGTGAAGAGGCATATTTCAAAGTGACTTGTGCAGGGATCCTCCACATGTGCTACCTGTGCTTCACCTGTAAAGCCAAGTCTCTCCGCAGCCATTAGTGCTAGACTTCACCGGAGTTTTGGCCTGTGTACTGTACACATAACCATAGGCCACCATTGAGAATTGATGTCCTATTTCTCTCATCTAAAAACGTTTCAAAAGTACTATTCAAATGAGACAAGGGATCAGTCCATTAAATAAGACATTCCTCATTTTACAGAAGCAGCACACAAAATATAAATAAATATAAGAATAAAGGACTACCAGTAATAACAAAAGCGGAGGGTTCTATATTTAGGTGAAGATGAATTGGAAGACACCTATATAAGATCAAACAGCTTCTGTCACAGCGTAAACACATACATCAAATACCTACCCATCTTAGTCTCCAGAAATGCTCAATATTCTCAGCTCAGAATTTACATTTAAATTTTAATCTTAAATTTTGAAACAAAACACACACAATTGTGAGGTTTCAAATAGAATCTGTTGTCAAGGAGGATTACTTCAAGTTGAATGAAACCTAATGTAATAATCAGACTACCAGTAAATTCAAAGAAAAATTATATTAAGTAAGGAATATATTTTGAAATTATCTTTTAAACATGAATCATAGGTTAATACAAGTTAAAAGATTTCATAAATGTATTTTAACTATGGACTTTTCACCAAAACTAATCTAATAATGCAACATTTAAAGGATGAAATAAAACAATACTGGTTTTAATAAATCCCAATAATGCACCACCATTGAATACCCAGAGTGAGACAGATGGTGACATTACACCTACAGACAAGATGATTATACACGGGTTTATGTTCAGGTGGGGTACATCTACATCTGTCCTCCTGACACACAGTGCTTAATTACTGGCCTGTTAATCAATGACTAAGGTATGAAACAGGTGATCACTGCTCCGTTCATCGTTATCTACCACCTGGAGCACTGCCCTCCTACTCATACACTTGGCACTGATAAATGAAGTTCAAAAATAGCATTTTGACTTGTACAAAAAAACTCATTACAGCTGGGATTGTAAACACATATCAATAGTTTCTGCATCTTTGAAGGAAAGGATGTTTGTTTATGGAATTTGTAAACTTCGTTTAAAAACAAAACTTCTTCTAAATCGTCAATAATTCACAAAAAAAAATACATTAAAACTCGAACACATCCTGTATAATTAATCATGAAAATTTGAGTAAAGAAATAAAGAATAAAGAAAATAAAACAACTTTTAATTAATACATTCAGACACATTAACCAATATGAAACAGGGAAGTTAATTCGTGAAAAACGTTTAACGATCAACAAACAGAATATTTCTTTCCACCAGGATGTTCCGAGGGTGTAAAAACACCCCCAAAATAACAACTCTTGCTTGAAATGTTTTGGAACACCACACCACGCCTCCGTGTGTTTTGTGCAGTCTCTCGTTTTACTAATCATTAATTATCATGTTTATATGTGGGAATTTTCTCTCCATTTCCACTCTCTCAAATGAAATACCAATCAGAATTGATTCGTTGGTGAAATGTATGTTGTTGACCCGTTTCCAATCTCTTCTGCCTCCCACCTATCGCCAGCCCTCACAAACTCAAAATTGCGAAATCCTGCTAATTACAAGTTATTTTGAAACGTCACAGTTGAGACTTAGCTTAACTTTTATATGAATTGTAAGTCAATGTCGGGAGTTGTAAAATCAATCGCTATCATATAACTTTACAAAACTCGTGCGACTGGGTTTTCGCGACCATGTTAATCACCCACAAACAATCGACAGTGGGAGTGTTTGAATTTGACACAATTTGTCTGCGCTATGGGGACCAGAGCTAGGTCCATTGTTTCGTTAGGTAACAAACAGCAACTCAAATAACATGGCAGAATGTATGACAAAGCAGTAAACCCCAGCCACAAAGGCCCTGTTAGCCTTCAAGGTCTCTTTCCACCTTGCCAAACCACCTCAAAATAGATTTTCAACCCTGTGAATACTATCTCTGGCCTGTCGGCCGATATATTGTTCGTTAATATCCGCCAGTTTTCGTTCGTGGCGAAATATTCCATTTTTAGCGTCCGTAGTTCACGATTCTTGCCGAAGTGGTCGGAAGACTAACATCCATATATGGTCAGATTATTTCCTATTGCCAGTGACGTCAGTCTCCACATAATTGTGGTATTCACACTTCGGTTACGTATGGCATGCTTTGTGTCCCATATATGGAAGTTTCCGAGCCGGGGTGATAAAGGTCATGCCGCATTGGAGGCTCATGAATAATTCATAGTTTTACTATGTTTGCGATTTTCTCCGCCATTTCAAAATGACATGCGGCGAGATTGGTCTTATTTTGTAGATATGTTGCTCCTCTTTAAAATGGCCGTTTCAGAATTTGCATTTATTCCTTAGATATGGTTCAATTCTGCGTGACCTACTTGCAAACCGGCGATAATTGATTGTAAAGGTTATCACTTATTTATGCCTACGTCACATGACGTCAATCAAACTCGACAGCAGATTGGCTGAACCTGTAGGGGCTATGCCATATATGGTCATTACGCTCCGGTCGAGTTTCATTCATAAAAGCAAGACTTTCATTCATAAGTTCATACTCAGTCTGTCGATGGTAGGAAGAACACCGTGTGATACGAAGGAGTATTTACTACCACAACACACACAGTGGTAGCCACACAAACACTGTGGACGATTTTAATCGGAAGTGAATACTGTTGACTGTCTTCGCAATGATTATGGACAGTCTAGATACCTTAACAAGAGTGGCTCTCGCCGACATGTGTGGGGATTTAGTGACTGGATTATCATACGATTCTCCGTCAGAGGCGACGGTTATAATGGGAAGAACTGCTTCAGAATCAGTGGATGATTCTTTAAACACACCCGTAACAACATGTTCGGAAACGACTTTCCAGTTTGGTACGGATACATTGGAACCTCCACCGATCACCGCTACTGGTAGGTCTCATTCACATTGTACAGCGATCAGCTGTTCCGTCTGTCTAATGTGCTTATAGATGACTCGGTCAGCTTCGCTCTGGCATCCACTTGCTTGATTTTAACTCACTTCTAAACATGACATTGCTCAATATAGTTCCTTAACTTACTTGACATCGCTGTGTTTCGTTTGGTTCGGTTGTCATTTGGAAAATAACACTGGAAAATACCGTGGGAAAACTAGAACAGGCTGCGTCCATATTGAGTGAGCTAATTATAGTTCTACTCATTCATATGCAGCCACAGACCAGCATTACGCATGTCACAAACCATTATCATAATTATGTATGAATGATCCAGACTTGGATTTCGATCAATACCTCGTCGTGATTATTGATTTTCATTAAGTATGGATGCTGGTCCGACCGAAATACACGCGAATCTGTTTGTGTGTACAGTCGCCTACGCAAGTTGGGGGCGTGGCTTAATTCAAGTGTCACAACTGCCGGCTACGTCAGTGCTCTTACGTTCATTCACAAGGTCCGCGCGCTTTTGAGATTGCTCACGCTTCATGATGATTTTGCACGGTACAGTTTTTTGTACATAGGAATTTTTCAAATGATTTTTGCTGATACAGTGAACATTTTTAGATGGACGTTGGTGGAAAATATTTTTATTTACTTATATCTGTTTGTTTCTGTTGAAGTGAGTCCGTTACATTTGAACCGTGAGCTGTTAAACCATATGGTATTGAGTGGACACATGTTTTCACCTTTTTTTTTGAGGCATCCAATGTTTTTGAACAAACTGTTTTGAATATTTTAACAAAATATTTATGAATTGATTTTTTGTATTTTTCAGCCAACATCCTCGCCTCCATCAACATCCCCGAAGCTGGCAAGGGGGATAGCCTATTCCCACCACGTACCCAGGGATCCCAGAGCGGGAATGTGACAACACATACTATCTCCTACAAGGGGACGCTAGTCACTACTGCCGTCACGCCGGCCTCCACCGTCTCCGATACAAACCCAACGAACTTCGCCTCCATCCTCACTCCACTGTCACCTCTCATCACCATCCTCTCTCAGGCCACCCAGAACCCAGGACAGGGCTTCAGAAACTACCCCGCTAACTTAAGCGACTTCGCCACGTTCACTAGCCAGGCGCCGATCAGCTTCGGGTTCAAGTCCCCTGCCCCTTCTCCGGTTCCCGCTCAGTCGCCACAAGCTCAAAGTGACGCCTGTTCCATGGGGCAGCCAGACCAGGGCGATCACTTCTCTACTGGGTTCGGATCCCCAATGACCCCTCACTCCACACAGTCCACCCCCGAGCCTCAGATGCCAGCTGTGTCCGACGCTTTCTCCAGGAGTGATGACAGCATCAGCTATTCGTCACCTCCTCCACCACCGCCGTATTCACAGTCGCTACCTATGTCTCTGGAGCAGGAGTTGCCCGGTCTGGCCATGAAGCAGTCACCCTGTTACACTTCATGCAGCCAGGTGCAGCCCAATCAGGCACAGCAATGTGACCAGACATCTCTTATAAACTTTGCACCCAACAACTTGCCAGAAACTGTGTTACAAATGCAATTCTCGGACTTGAGCAAAGCTCAAACAATCACAGGGGACCTGAAGTGGTCTATATCATCAACGAATACAGCATCTCAGTCTCAGCTGCCTGATTTCCCAGCCCTTCAGATCGGGGCTCCCCAACAAACTGTACAAAGCGTGTCAAATGTGCCCATGCAGCCCTTCCATGTCCCAGGGACAATCAAGTCAGAACCGGGTACATCCACGATTGATGAACGCTTTCTGCTGTCGTCTGCTGGTATGGACTTTGTTACCGCATCTTCTACTGCTGATGTCAAGCCTTCAGTCAGTTCTATAACCTCCACACTTAACCAGCCCTATCAACAGGGCACCCTCAAACTTTTACCTGTTAAACCTAGGAAGTACCCCAATCGCCCCAGCAAAACACCTCCCCATGAACGACCATACCCCTGTCCAGTTGACAATTGTGATAGGCGGTTTTCAAGAAGTGATGAACTAACACGACACATCCGTATTCACACAGGACAGAAACCCTTTCAGTGTAAAATATGTCTGCGGAGTTTCAGCCGCAGTGACCACCTGACAACCCATGTTCGGACACACACTGGCGAAAAGCCATTCTCCTGTGATGTCTGCGGGCGTAAGTTCGCCAGGAGCGATGAAAAGAAAAGGCATGCAAAAGTGCACTTGAAACAACGCATTAAGAAAGAGGCTAAAATGCTTGCAGCCAACGCCCCCCTCCCAACAACTCAAGCGACGACCTTGTCAGGTGCTATGGTAGACTCTTTATTAGACTCAAGCAGTGTTAGCGGGTCTAACACTATGTGCTCTTTACCCCTCGTAGTGACGACGGCGTCGCTGTGAGAGCCCCTCCACAGATGGTGCTACGCAATTGTACTGGTTTATGAACATTGAAACCGTTGTTGAATCTGACTTAATATGAAACAGTGAGGGCCTACAGAGGTAATGTCTGCCCCTCAATTTTTTGAGTCGGACTGGTCCGGTTCCCGTTGAGCGTTGTCTTCTCTTCGGCTTCTTTATCTGCCGGTGAAGTTTGTTACGGTCTGTGACTGTGTGTTCTTACATTGTGAAGTATTTTATCCATTGTGCCATTACTGTATTCAATGTGTTCCCCAGGTTAAGAGGAACTTCACTGTTATCGTAACTCACATTTCATTTGTTTTTCATTTTACCCGAGCGCTTGATCAGTCTTCGCAGGCAGCAGTTGTAAGTTGTTTTTGCATCATGAGGTTAACCCTGTTATGTGTTCAAGGGTTACACTGAGAGCATTTATCTGTGTCCATGTTATGTGTACTACATCAAAATTATCCAAATACATTAAATTCTTTATCTATTTTTCTATATTGTTATGACTGAAGTAATGTTGTAACTATTTGCTTAAGTCAGTGATCAAAATGTCTCTTCATTTTCGTTGATAGTTTTTAAAGTGCTCCCACTTTTGTTATGACATCACAAGTACCGGTTCTGTTTGATTTTGTTGTTGTGTACATATTGAATTCTAACTGAATCGCTTTCCAACGTGATATGTGTTACGCCAGCCTTCTATTACTAAATGAATATAGAGTCCTATATTTTGACATTGAAAATTATTTTCTTTATGTTGTTCAACAAACTACTAATGTAAATGAATTGACTCCCTCGACAAATCGTACTGTCACCGCACATGTATCAGCAGAAACTGTCATAACAACTTGCATGATCTTGAAATCCATTTAATTCGTGCTATATATTTTGGCATAGTGCATTTAGACCAATCCAGATTGCCATTTTTACACTTGTGACAAATGTATTTACGTTCTATAGTGGTGACAGTTGGGAGACAAGGAGTTCATTCATTTTCATGTTACAATGCTACACCGTTCTTGCTGGTTGAGAGTACAGATGTATGGCATAGTGCCAAAGAATGATTGTTGACTGGCATATTAAAATGCGGTTGTCGTGAAATGAAACCAAAGTCTTTTCGTTTTTCTTCATCATGGTTGTCAGAAGTTGTCAGTACCGAAACAGAGTTATCTGCTCTTGATGTCGGTATGCAATGGCCGCCCGCCAGTGGAATGTTTGCTGCGGTACGGGTTACTAAGCGGAAGAGCATGGCGTCTTCGGATTCCCAACGTTAGTCAAAGAATGCATACACGCACCATGTTATGGTGTTATGGAGAACACGTCGTTGCTGTTATATTCCACATCTAGACAACAATGGAATTTTCTAGAACCACTGTTACATTTTCGAGTTCGCATAGAGTTTCTGTAGTATTACACGCACGGCCTGGGATTGGGTCTGGTAACAAAACTCACTGAAAGCCTGAAAAATTATATACATATATATCTAAAATGGTTAAAATAACATTTAACATGGACAAATATAACAATGTCCCCCGTCAAACACACACACACACACACACACACACACACACACACACACACACACACACACACACACACACACACACACACACACACACACACACACACACACACACACACACACACACACACACACACACACACACACACACACACACACACACTATAGACTTGACTGGACTTGATAGAACTTGTCACAACTCAAATAAATTACTAGTATCTTGAACACACAGCAGCTCACCCTCTCTCTCTCTTTCACTGGTGTAGTTTATTACCTGTACAACACACAGAGATGAGCAACGTTCCCTAACAAGATCACTGGTGTAGTGTAGTTTATTACCTGTACAACACACAGAGATGAACAACGTTCCCCCACAAGATCACTGGTGTAGTGTAGTTTATTACCTGTACAACACACAGAGATGAACAACGTTCCCTCACACGATCACTGGTGTAGTGTAGTTTATTACCTGTACAACAAACAGAGATGAACAACGTTCCCCCACAAGATCACTGGTGTAGTGTAGTTTATTACCTGTACAACACACAGAGATGAACAACGTTCCCCCACAAGATCACTGGTGTAGTGTAGTTTATTACCTGTACAACACACAGAGATGAACAACGTTCCCTCACAAGAACACTGGTGTAGTGAAGTTTATTACCTGTACAACACACACAGATGAACAACGTTCCCCCACAAGATCACTGGTGTAGTGAAGTTTATTACCTGTACAACACACAGATGAACAACGTTCCCTCACAAGAACACTGGTGTAGTGAAGTTTATTACCTGTACAACACACAGATGAACAACGTTCCCCACAAGATCACTGGTGTAGTGTAGTTTATTACCTGTACAACACACAGATGAACAACGTTCCCTCACAAGATCACTGGTGTAGTGTAGTTTATTACCTGTACAACACACAGAGATGAACAACGTTCCCCCACAAGATCACTGGTGCAGTGAAGTTTATTACCTGTACAACAAACACAGATGAACAACGTTCCCTCACACGATCATTGGTGTAGTGAAGTTTATTACCTGTACAACACACACAGATGAACAACGTTCCCCCAAAATCACTGGTATAGTGAAGTTTATTACCTGTACAACACACACAGATGAAAAACGTTCCTCACACGATCACTGGTGTAGTGTAGTTTATTACCTGTACAACACAGAGATGAACAACGTTCCCCACACGATCACTGGTGTAGTGTAGTTTATTACCTGTACAACAACACAGAGATGAGCAAGATGATCACAACGTTACCCCAAACAAGATGAACACTGAACAACCCACAAGATCACTGGTGTAGTGAAGTTTATTACCTGTACAACACACAGAGATGAACAACGTTCCCCACAAGATCACTGGTGTAGTGTAGTTTATTACCTGTACAACACACAGAGATGAAAAACGTTCCCTCACACGATCACTGGTGTAGTGTAGTTTATTACCTGTACAACACACAGATGAACAACGTTCCCTCACAAGATCACTGGTGTAGTGTAGTTTATTACCTGTACAACACACACAGATGAACAACGTTCCCCACAAGATCACTGGTGTAGTGTAGTTTTTATTACCTGTACAACACACACAGATGAACAACGTTCCCCACAAGATCACTGGTGTAGTGAAGTTTATTACCTGTACAACACACAGATGAACAACGTTCCCCCACAAGATCACTGGTGTAGTGAAGTTTATTACCTGTACAACACACAGATGAACAACGTTCCCTCACAAGATCACTGGTGTAGTGAAGTTTATTACCTGTACAACACACAGATGAACAACGTTCCCTCACAAGATCACTGGTGTAGTGTAGTTTATTACCTGTACAACACACAGAGATGAACAACGTTCCCCCACAAGATCACTGGTGCAGTGAAGTTTATTACCTGTACAACAAACACAGATGAACAACGTTCCCTCACACGATCATTGGTGTAGTGAAGTTTATTACCTGTACAACACACACAGATGAACAACGTTCCCCCCAAAATCACTGGTATAGTGAAGTTTATTACCTGTACAACACACAGAGATGAACAACGTTCCCTCACACGATCACTGGTGTAGTGTAGTTTATCACCTGTACAACACACAGATGAACAACGTTCCCTCACACGATCACTGGTGTAGTGTAGTTTATTACCTGTACAACACACAGAGTTGAGCAACGTTCCCTCACACGAGCACTGGTGCAGTGAAGTTTATTACCTGTACAACAAACAGAGATGAACAACGTTCCCCCACAAGATCACTGGTGTAGTGAAGTTTATTACCTGTACAACACACACAGATGAACAACGTTCCCCCACAAGATCACTGGTGCAGTGAAGTTTATTACCTGTACAACACACAGAGATGAACAACGTTCCTCACCAGTCCCCACAAGATCACTGGTGTAGTGAAGTTTATTACCTGTACAACACACACAGATGAACAACGTTCCCCCACAAGATCACTGGTGTAGTGTAGTGTATTACCTGTACAACACACACAGATGAACAACGTTCCCTCACAGAAACACTGGTGTAGTGTAGTTTATTACCTGTACAACACACACAGATGAACAACGTTCCCCCACAAGATCACTGGTGTAGTGAAGTTTATTACCTGTACAACACACAGATGAACAACGTTCCCTCACAAGAACACTGGTGTAGTGAAGTTTATTACCTGTACAACACACAGATGAACAACGTTCCCCCACAAGATCACTGGTGTAGTGTAGTTTATTACCTGTACAACACACAGATGAACAACGTTGCCTCACAAGATCACTGGTGTAGTGTAGTTTATTACCTGTACAACACACACAGATGAACAACGTTCCCCCACAAGATCACTGGTGTAGTGAAGTTTATAACCTGTACAACACACAGAGATGAACAACGTTCCCTCACACGATCATTGGTGTAGTGTAGTTTATTACCTGTACAACACACACAGATGAACAACGTTCCCCCCAAAATCACTGGTATAGTGAAGTTTATTACCTGTACAACACACAGAGATGAAAAACGTTCCCTCACACGATCACTGGTGTAGTGTAGTTTATCACCTGTACAACACACAGATGAACAACGTTCCCTCACACGATCACTGGTGTAGTGTAGTTTATTACCTGTACAACACACAGAGTTGAGCAACGTTCCCTCACACGAGCACTGGTGCAGTGAAGTTTATTACCTGTACAACAAACAGAGATGAACAACGTTCCCCCACAAGATCACTGGTGTAGTGAAGTTTATTACCTGTACAACACACACAGATGAACAACGTTCCCCCACAAGATCACTGGTGTAGTGTAGTGTATTACCTGTACAACACACACAGATGAACAACGTTCCCTCACAGAAACACTGGTGTAGTGTAGTTTATTACCTGTACAACACACACAGATGAACAACGTTCCCCCACAAGATCACTGGTGTAGTGAAGTTTATTACCTGTACAACACACAGAGATGAACAACGTTCCCCCACAAGATCACTGGTGTAGTGAAGTTTATTACCTGTACAACACACAGATGAACAACTTTTCCTCACAAGATCACTGGTGTAGTGAAGTTTATTACCTGTACAACACACAGATGAACAACGTTCCCTCACAAGATCACTGGTGTAGTATAGTTTATTACCTGTACAACACAGAGATGAACAACGTTCCTTGACAAGAACACTGGTGTAGTGTAGTTTATTACCTGTACAACACACAGATGAACAACGTTCCCTCACAAGATCACTGGTGTAGTGAAGTTTATTACCTGTACAACACAGAGATGAACAACGTTCCCCCACAAGATCACTGGTGTAGTGTAGTTTATTACCTGTACAACACACAGATGAACAACGTTGCCTCACAAGATCACTGGTGTAGTGTACTTTATTACCTGTACAACACAGAGATGAACAACGTTCCCACACAAGATCACTGGTGTAGTGTAGCTTATTACCTGTACAACACACACAGATGAACAACGTTCCCTCACAAGATCACTGGTGTAGTGAAGTTTATTACCTGTACAACACACAGATGAACAACGTTCCCCCACAAGATCACTGGTGTAGTGAAGTTTATTACCTGTACAACACACAGATGAACAACGTTCCCCCACAAGATCACTGGTGTAGTGAAGTTTATTACCTGTACAACACACAGAGATGAACAACGTTCCCCCACAAGATCACTGGTGTAGTGAAGTTTATTACCTGTACAACGTTCCTTGACACTGGATGAACAACGTTCCCCCACAAGAGATCACTGGTGTAGTGAAGTTTATTACCTGTACAACACACAGAGATGAACAACGTTCCCCACAAGATCACTGGTGTAGTGAAGTTTATTACCTGTACAACACACAGATGAACAACAGAGATGAAAAACGCCCCCACAAGATCACTGGTGTAGTGAAGTTTATTACCTGTACAGAGATGAACAACGTTCCCCCACAAGATCAACAACACACAAGATGAGCAACGTTCCCCACGCGATCACTGGTGTAGTGAAGTTTATTACCTGTACAAACACAGAGATGAACAACGTTCCCCACAAGAT